AAAATATGGAAATAAATCCCATAAGAAAAAGATAAAACAGGCTTGTAGAAATGCTCAAAGATGAGGAATATGTGCATGCGTGTGTGTGTGTGTGTGTGTGTGTGCACTGGAAGGAGGGATAGGGCTAGATATTTCTGTGTTTCATTATAAGTATAGTAATACTTCTAATGTCTATTGGAAATGTAACATATGAAATCTTTTTTTCATGGATTCCTTTGATAAACATTTAAAAATCATTTGGGGGACAGGGCACCTGGGTGGTTCAATCGGTTAAGCTTCTGACTTAGGCTCAGGTCATGATCTCAGGGTCCTGGGCCTGCTCATCAGAGAATCAGCTTCAGCCTCTCACTCTCCCTCTGTGCACGCTCTCTCTCAGATAATAAATAAAAATCTTTTAAAAATTGGGGCGCCTGGGTGGCTTAGTCGTTAAGCGTCTGCCTTCGGCTCAAGTCATGATCCCAGAGTCCTGGGATTGAGTCCCACATCAGGCTCCCTGCTCGGCAGGAAGCCCGCTTCTCCCTCTCCCACTCCCCCTGCTTGTGTTCCTGCTCTCGCTATCTCTCTGTCAGATAAATAAATAAAATCTTTAAAAAAAAATCTTTTAAAAATATAAATAAATAAAAAATAAAAATCATTTCAGGGGCACCTGGGTCATTGGGTGGATTAAGTGTCTGACTTTGGCTCAGGCCATGATTTCATGACCTGAGCTCAGCAGGGAGTATGCTTGTCCCTCTGCCCCTCTCATGCTCTCTCTTTCTCTCTCTCTCTTAAATAAATAAACAAAATCTTTAAAAAAATAAATAAATAAAAATCATTTGGAAAAAAATTGTTATTTTTAAGTGATAGTTAAATTTTGGATAACAGATAGCCCAAACTTACCCATAATTAGAAATTTAATTATGTAATTCTAGTTTCTCTGACTTCAGGATCTTTAGAAGTTAATTAACATATGTAAAGTGCTAGGGAGTATTCTTTATGAAGGCATCTGGAGTGTGCCATAGATTTTAGTGTCCATTAACACTATGATGTCTACCTCTTAATTTTAGATTTGGTACTGCCCACTTAACTAAGCTGTTATGTATGGCCAACAAATATTAAAGGACAAACAGGATAAATGATGCATGGCGGATGGCAGAGTATATTTTGAAAATGAAGTTACACTGATCTCTCTGTCTACATAAGAGATCTTTAAAATATAAGCTGCAATTTTCAAACTAAAAAAAAACCAAAAAACAAAAAAAACCCTTCTAAGTTCAAGCCTACTTACTAAAGAACCAAAATACTTACCAAATCTTTTGTATTAGCCGTGACCTATTACTCCTTTTGCTGTTTTTCTTGCCATTTAGAAGTGAATTATACTTTTTGAACAATTAATATTATCAGTTACTTTTTCTGTATAACATATTTTAAAGATGGAGTTGCAAAGGACAAGTAAAAATTTTCTGTTAGCTACGGAGGGGTTATAGTAGCCAAATTTTTTTTTTTTAAAGATTTTATTTATTTGAGAGAGAGAGAATGAGAGAGGAAGAACACATGAGAGGGGATAGGGTCAGAGGGTGAAGCAGACTCCCCGCCAAGCAGGGAGCCCGATGCGGGACTCGATCCAGAGACTCCAGGATCATGACCTGAGCCGAAGGCAGTCGCTCAACCAACTGAGCCACCCAGGCGCCCCCAAATTTTTTATTTAAAGCAGAATTGCTGCTCCTTGAAAATAAAATTGAGAGGGAGGGAGGGGTAAAGTGTAGCCAGTTATACGTTTATAAACCCTAGGTCAGAAATAATAATATCTAACAACGATGAAATATAAAGAAGTTTATTAGAAAACATGTACTAGACACAAAAGCACCAAAATAACATAAAGAAGCCCCCACTATTCATAGCACACTAGTTCTTTTCTCTCAGAATTGAGCAAAGTACAGAAGGGATCTTTCTCATGCAATCCTGGTCACGTCCTTGATTTGGACAATCACTACTGATTTTATATTTTATTTCTGGGTTTGGATGTTGTTTTCGTCAGTAATGGAGATTTTCGGTCTTTTTCTTCAACTTAATATTGTACTTATAACCCCTTGGGTCGGTTCTGACTAGTTTACACCATCAGATAAATGTTCTCAGCTTCTTAAATCAATTCTTCCAGAGGTATGGCCACTAGACAAATTCAATCTTTTTGGTTTATAGCTATTTTCAAAATAATTTAGAAGTAACACTGTAACTCCTGACATATTTAAGGATCTCCTGTAGTTCTCATCACGTCTTTAGGGAACGTAGGGTGAATATTTCATAACACAGTCACATTTTGGTAAGTCTCATTGCTGGGGTAATGACATTAAACCCTTTCAGTTTCCTTCTGAAGGCAGTATGTACTGTTACAATGCAACATTTTTCTGTTCCAAAGCTTGTGGCAGTTACAGAAAAATAGTAATGAGTGTTTCTTTAAATAGAACAGCTGTACTTGCGGGTTTTCAATGCTAATGTTCAGTGACCACTAATTTTATATCTAACCAGGCAAAACTGTATTTTATTCATTATGGAGTGAAACACATTTTGAGACTCTTAAGGCTGACTGCATGAAATTTAAGGGCAAACTGATACTTGTCTGAGCTCTGCAGGACAGAAATTTACATGCATACTTTGAACAATTTTATTTTTACTATTCAATTCCTTTAATGAATTATGGGATTTCCCCTGGTTCTGTCATTTGGGACTTCAAGCTGCTTAGTATCTATAAGGAATATTACCAAAGATTACTCGGTACTCAAAGTGATTGGAAAGAGAGGCCTGCACTCGAGTACATATTCACAAAGCACATCTTAACACTCTAAAAGTAATAGAAATCATAATATGGCTCTTTTGCATAGTAGCGTTCCCATTACACCACGGGATGGCACATCTCAAACTGCGAAAGAGATTTCTTTCAGAAAGTATGCAGGATTCTGATGCTACCCTCAAACATGTTCTGGAGTAATGACCATCAATAAAATCTTACCATAATTCATAGAACCAGAAGATAATTTTGCTGGCACAAAAAATTATTTAAAAAAATCACATAATATGGGGTGCCTGGGTGGCTCAGTTGGCTGGGCATCTGACTCTTGATTTCTGCTCAGGTCGTGATCTCAGGGTCATGAGATTGAGCCCCATGTTGGGCTCTGTGCTCAGCAGGGAGTCTGCTGGTCTGGTGGAGATTCTCTCTCCCTCTGCCCCTCTAGCACACTCATGCTCTCTGTCTCAAAAATAAATAAATAAAATCTTTTTAAAAAATCACATAATATCAACAATAGTTAAATCTTTTAAGATAGAGATACATACACACACGTATGTATGTGTGTGTATATGTGTATGTGTATGTATACACGTGTGTGTGTGTATCCATACAGAGACTTAAATGGTATTTCAATGACTTCTAAAGGAATGTTTCATTTTCCAATATCTTTAGGATCCCTATTTTCCCTAATTTTCTGTCACTTTATTTCTCTTTCAATTTTCCACAGCTGCCTTATAGTATTTTCCTTTTTTCTTTACTCTGACATCTTTATTATCCTCTTTTCTCCTTCCTAATGCTCTCTCCACAATTTCTCTGAAACAGATCTAATCAAGTTTTTTTTTGTTTTTTTGTTTTTTTAAGTAGGCACCATACCCAGTGTGGAGCACAAAGTGGGGCTTGAACTCCTGAGATCAAGACCTGAGCTGATATCAAGAGTCTGACGCTCAACTGACTGACACCCAGGCACCCCCAGATCTAATCTAGTTTTAGTCCATTAATCATATTACGCCAATAAAGAGTCCCTTGGCTTTTAAATTGAAAAAAACATGAATATCATAGCAATGAAGTAGGGAAGTTGAAGGGGCTCCATTTTAGAAACGCTCCATCTCTGCTGTTTTTCTGTGAGGCACCATTTACTCATGTTCCATATTTTGCCTCTGAATAAGCCAAAGCAGCTCTGTTCCCGCTTGAAGGGGGAAGCGAGAAGGTTAATCATTCTCTGAGTTTTTGTCTTAGGCCCCAAACACCTGACAACATGTAACGAGAGCCAGATCCCAAACATGTTCCAGGGTATTAGCTTCCAACAAACTTCGGCTGATAATGGCATCAATACCCCTATCTTCAGTCATTTATGGAATAACACCTATTGTTCACCCAACACTTGCATGTGATTGACCGTACCCTGGATTCCTGGAGGAACACATACTCTATACCCTTTTCTAATATAAACCCCTAACCATAAGCAACAACAAAACTCATTCTTCTCTCCTTTCTGAGTCTCTCAGACACTTTGTCTGCTATTCTGTCTGTCACTCACACTATTCAATAAACTCTATTTTCACTTTCTCTGGCTCACGTTTGATTTCTATCCTGTGTGAAGCCAAGGACCCTCTTGGTTGGTCCTGTGGGATCTTCCCCTGGGTTCTTGGACCCAGCCTGCCTACATCAGCAAGACAGTTTATTTGTTGTTGTTGTTGTTTTTAATTTTGATTACGTGTATGTATTTATGTGTGTGTGTATGTGTGTATGCAGCTAGCTAGTTCTTTAAATCACAAGCTATACTGTAAATATTTCAATATGAAATTTTTTAAAGTAGAAAACAAGTGAAATGTCTTTGCACTTCACTAATATAAAACAAGAAGACCAAAAAACTTATCCTCTGTCTTGCACATAAAAAATACTTGATAAATATATCACAGTGAATAAATCTTAAATATAATATCGCAAACAGAATTTGAGAAAGATCAAATTTTTACATTCTGATGAAAGGCAAATCCTATAAATATATACAAATAAAGTAAATGAATTATTGTTTAAAAAGTTCTATTTTCCTTAGATGGAAGATTTCATCTGAAAGACAGAACCAGAAAACAAGGCAAATCTAGTCCTTCACTACTCACCAGAAGTGATAAGAACCTGCCCCTATACGACCTGGTGTTTAGTATCAACAAATACATTTAACATCAAAGGAAAAGCATATATAAATAGCCATTTATAATTTAAAAGAGAGTTTTACCAAAGACAGTCAGCTCTGCTGGATCACTGTCTCTTTCTCCCACCATATTTGTGCCAACACAGGTATACATCCCTGCATCACTTTTCCTGGTATTGGAGATCATCAGTTTTCCACCACGGATCTGTTAAAATTAAAAAAAAAAAAAGAAGAAGAAGAAAGAAAAGAAAAGAAAAAGAAAAAAGAGGAAGGGAAAAAAGAAAAAAAAAGGAAAAGAAAAGAGAGAAAGAAAATGCAAAGTAAAATAAACAGCAAAGAGAAGGTGACTAATAAATAATTTTGAATATTTAGGCAGAACATTTTTTTTCCTAAAGGAAATAGCTCAGTGTCTAAGACCAAAACTTTCCCCCTATTTTGGCATCTGCATGTGTTTTTTCTTCTCTTAACTTCTCCCTCAGGATAAGCCTTCATATTCTCTTTCTAGAAAATGCTTTTGGGCATTCTTTCTCTTTCTTGTCTGGTCCTATTTTGACATTTGTGACTGCTTCCACCAAATCCTAGTGGTTGTCTTCACTCTGAAGTAGGTTGAATGAATTGCTATTGATATTTGTTATCAGAAAGAAGCATTAGATAACCGTTTTTGGTACTATAATGAAATTGAACTGACACAGAGGGATTCAACAAGCATTTACTGAGTACCTCTATGGGCTGGGCAGTGTTCTAGATGTTTGAGATTCAGGAGTAAACCAAATAATAATAAATCTCTGCCTTCATGGAGCTTAAATTTCAATTTTTAGCATTAATTATCTGTCTCACCTTGATTGTATGTATGAGATAATTTTTGAAGAGGAGGGCAGGTTGGATAAAAATATTTTTTTTTTAAGTGATGAGAGTATGAGTTGGTGTAAATCATTGGCTTCTACTAGGTGCTTCCTAACTGTTTCTTAAGTGAGAAGCATTTATTGACCAAATAAACCAATGTAATATGTTAAAATGTCTATTTGTTAAAGAGGATATTGAAGCAGAATTAGATTTTTAGTATGTGTATCACCAACTCATGGCTTCTTTTCCAATTTTTTTTCTTTATATTTATGTAATTCAACAATCTTAACATCACAATGACTGAATGTTCTTAAAGAGATAGGAGAGAAGAACGTGCTGGTTTCCTCTGTTAATTTTTATCTCATAGGCAAAGAAAACCCACGTAGGTATGTTCTCAATGGATATATTTCAGGCTCTGAAACTTGTCATGTCCCAGAAAGGGACTTTCAATTTTGTTTTTACATGGGAAGAAAAGACTGCCAACCTGTTCTTAATTATGTGCTGTGGAGTATAATAAACTGTAGGTTATAAAAATGGCCATGGAGGCCATTTCTCCTCCCCCTGAAACTGAGTTTGGCAATATAACTTGATTTGACCAATGAAACTAAAGCAATGTTTCAGCAGACGAAAAGTGTTCTCAAATTGAGACTTGTCTTTCCTTGCTGGAATCTTGAGACCACCATGGGAACCAGTCTGAGCTGGTCTGCTGGAAAATTAGAGGCCAAGAGAAGAACCAGGATGCCCAGCTGAGTATAAGTCAATGGCCAGACATGTAAGGTTACCCTAGATCATCCAGCTGCCAGCACATCTTTTAAACAGGCCACAGAAGCATGAGAAAACCTAGCAAAGATGAGCCAAGCTGGCCCAGAATAAAGAATTGTCATCTTACCCACAGAATCATAGTCTAAATAAAATGGTTATTATAAGTCACTGTATTTTGTGGTGGTTTGTTATAAAGCGAAAATTAAATGATGCAAACATGAACTAGAAAGCCTTCAAAAGTGATTTTACTCTATCACCAGGAGCATATTTTCATGTTTGGTATCCAAGCACAGACCACTGAGAACCAAATTCTCCCTGGTAATGTAGCTCCTCATGGTGTCAAGAGTTCAAGCCAGAATCACATGAATATATATTGTGAGCTCTTATGTGGCCTATCCGGTTATGATGTAACCACGATGCATACATTACAAAAACCTTCATTATAAGATATTTTTAAAGATAATAGACCTTAGACTATATAGACTTTTTATAGAAATGGCACGTTTGTTCAGTTAAATGAGACATTATTTTAAGTCAAATATATTTATTCTCAATAATTGTACTGAATATAAAAATTATACTAAGAATAGCATCAGAAGTTTGAAGCATTATCTACTATTTCAGTGAACTGGTTCCCATAAGCATCACAAACAAACCTTGAGTGGATCCTCTAAAAATATAAAATAATTATATGCCATTCCCCTTCTCTACCTCTTTACAATGTTCTGGGTGTCTCATTTTGATATTAATCAAGTGATGAACCTAATCATCAATATCCTTGAAAGCAAACTATTTTTCTACAAGAGCTAAACTGCAGAATCAAAAAAGTCACGTTTACTTTGATTTTACTTTATACCTCTTAAACTTTTAAATGAATTCATGTAAAAAACTTTAGTTATAAATATTAAATTTGAAAACTGGAAAAGGTGCTTGAGGTACTCATTACCTCACATTATTTTCTCTTATAATTTTGAAAATAAGTGCTAAAAGAAATGTTCTCATTAATATGGCTTACAGCCATCATTTACCCTTTATCACTCAGGTGAAACTACATAATCAAAAGACGCATTTGAGATGTTAAAAAGAGCTTTGTCACCTTTGTACTGCAAAGATATATATATCTTTACATATTCATATATATCTACATATTCATATCTTTTCATATTCAGATTGGTACAAATATTAATATATCATCTACACTTGATTTCTATAATTTTTGTGTCTTTGAAGCCTCATCCTAAAGTTTTAGTTCTCGGTTTTTTTTTTTTCAGTCCTTTCAAATGCAGTGTAAATGGTCATTAGCATTCAGTACATGTCTACAATTTCATTAGCAATAAAATATATCCATTTGAAGACTTGATAGTCAATCTCTGTAAGCATTAATTTTAATTTAACTCACGCTTATTCTTTCTTCCTTGTCATCAATTCGAACTTTGTCTTTCTTCCAGTAGATGGTGGGTTCTGGGTGTCCCCTGGGAGGCTGGCACTCCAAGATCGCAGGCTCTCCAGCAGCCACCACAACATCTGTGGGATTTTGCCGGAAGTCATCTCGTAACACTAAAGAAAAACAATTGTAGTGAAAGAAAACTCAATGACATTAACTTTAGCTTTCTCTTGCAAAACGTAACTTCACGTCTTACTTACTTTGTTCTAATAAAAATTAAATATTTACTGAGAAACATAGCCGTGCCCGTCTTAAAACATTCTAGGGCCAACCTAAATGTTCAACAGGGAAATGGCCGACTGTAGGATCATGTATCTTTGCTATAAAATCTGCTTTAAAATATAACAAAAGCCTAAGGAAAATAAGAAATACTCATGATATAGTTTTGAGATTTAATACTCAAGGTACAAAATTGTTTATGCAGTATGATCCCATTTTCTATAAAGAAAAAGCATAATGTGTATATGCATAATATGTATATAAAAACACTAAATAAATCATCAAGTTATACTTAAAACCCCAAAACAAGTCATGTGCACATGGTCTGTGAGCACGTATGCATATCAGTCTGGGAGGGGAAATGGGGTGAGGACTCTTTGAGAACGCCCTTTCTCATGACATGAATATAGACAAGATCCACACTGTTTTCATTACACTTCAGAAGATGGACTCATTGTTCACCCTGCAATGCACTAACACCCACATACACAGGGCTACATTTTCATTCTCCGTGCATCTCCACCTGCCAAGCGACATCTGGGCAGCGTGACATTCAGAGCAGAGATATTCCTTATAGCGGTTTGGCCAGTCTGAATTTCTCCTCCTTTCATTAGGAGAACAGCAGGTTGGACCTCCATTGTAACCTCCGAAAATCTGGCATGCCTGGCTCTCCAAATGTCACCTATCTATCTGTGTGTGCTTTTCTTTGGCTGGCAAGATGAAAAGCCTGGAGAAATGACTTGGCCCTATCAGATTGCAGAATGCTGGGTTTCTTTAGCAAATAAACTATTTTAGGGGAAACAGTCAAAAAAAGTAGTTGAGACCAGGCTTATACCATATACCTCAACTGCCTCTGCTTTTTCTAACTGCCTTGACTTTCTTATTTCTTTGTATTCCAACACTGACAACTTTATTTCCTAAGTGTATCGAAGGGAAAACACACACACATGCACATACAGTGTCTTATATGTATGTTTATACATAAATTGGTTAAGCTGTTTGAAATCAAAATTAGGTAGCTTCTGCTAGCCTGTTATGTGAATCATCTGCTACAAATGTGGATTGGGTCACACCAACTGCCTTTGATGTCCTATAGTGAGACCTACTTCAGCACTCTGCTCCTTTGTTGGGCGAAGTCTCTAGGTTAATTGTCATTCTCCAAATAAATAAAAATTCCCTGGCCTGAAAATAGCTCCAGAGAGACAACTGAGTGACTTTTAGGGCTTTTCTTCTCTTGTCTCTTGCAACACATCCTTTAACAGGGGTTTCCATCTTAATGAAGTCACGGCCTTTCTGAGATTAGAGAACCTCGTCTCCTATTGAAGGAACAGTAAGAAAGAATTCAGCACAAATTGCTCACTCTCAGTTTATAAGCTGATTAATTTACTGCTTTTGCTGCTAAGGAAATGTGTTCCATTTTAGCACGGTGAACTGCACATTTTTGGTTCTCTTGTCTCACTGGCAAGAGAGGTGTGATTTATATGCATAAGGATTTGCTTCTGAATGGGCTCAGAGAAGTGTGCATTTAAATGTGACATGCAGGCAGGGGGATGGGAAGGGGTTAACACTGTGGTTCCCTTTTGCAGGTAAATCCTCCTGGGAAAGCAAGCTGGTGACTCATTTATATTCTAAATACAGAACAGCTGCCTATTTATGCAATGTTAAGACATGCAAAAATATGGTAACAGAGTGGTGAGCACCCCAACAATATCCGGAACTGGCAACAAATGGTGTTTTGGCAGGCCCTCAATCTGTTCCAAAATGACACATCTGGCCAGTTGAAGGACCTTCTCTAGAACTGGTCTCTTAACAAATGACATGCCAAAAAGGTACTTAAGGCCATTGCAAATCATTCAGAAACACAGTGTTACATCAATTTGCAACAAGCCAAATTAAGGAAAAAAAAAAAATTAAAGGTCCTTTGACACGGAGGACAAAAAGGAGAAAAATATCATAACAAACTAAGGACTGCTCCTCTTAAACAATATAACATGTGTTTATGGCATTCACAAAAAAGAAAATGACTCCAATTTGCAAATGAAGCCAAGAAATCTAACATCAACTGTAATTTTAGGCTTTCAGACTATTCACCCAGAGAGTAGGGTGAGATAATAGTATAATTGGTACTGTACCCTCTTCAACAGGGAAAATGCTCTTCGGGGTTTGTATAGCATTTAGTTAATTCATTTTTTTGCTTAGTGATACCATTTCTTTTACCCTAAGTCTTTGAGGTAATAAAATGGGCTTCTTCTTTCTCTCAAAGAAAACAGTCAAGGGGAATACATCCTTTTCATCGGGTCCTAGCACAGAAGACCGAAAACTTACTCTTAGCGAAAAGTAAAGCCATTTTTACTCTTTTCAAACTGTAAAAAAGGATAGGTATGTTCTGATATTTGCTTACATGTTTCTGAGGTTTGTAGATCCATTCCTTAATATAAGCAAAATAAAATGAAATAATATCTATTGTTTCCAATTTTTGTGCTAATTTTTCATTTCTGTCTTGGATTTTGCCCTATATTGCAGGTGATAAAGAAAACAAAGTATTCCCTATAGTAAAGAATTCATGCAGTTTGGATGAAGGGAAGTAAAATGGTCTTGTAAATGTAGAAAAGCAAGGCAAGTCCAAATTAAGTCTGTATTTTTTTTCTCCTGAGCCCCTATTGTAGAAAGAATTGAGAGCAACATTTTTGATGTGGCTTGACAAGTAAGCCAAAGCAAGGGTACGCAGCAATATGTGTAATGTGTAACTAAAGCTCCAAACCGGTCTTTAAGTAGAGTGAAAAGAAATCAACCTGATTAACCGAGAAAAGAATCTGGTTACAATGATAAAAGCTCAGAGGGCAGTGATAAGTTACGCTTTCAGAAAAAAAAAAAAAAATATGTAACAGGTATACCCTTTTGATATAGCATTTCCTTGTGGACCCAAATCCTGCCAACAACCACATAGGCTTGAGAGCAGAAACTTTCCCAGCTGAGCCTTCACATGATACCACAGCCCTGACCAACACCTTGACTGGCAGCCTTATGAGAGATCCTATGGCAGGTGACTAACTTAACTCTTATCTGGGTTCCTGATCCACAGACAGAGAATAAATGTTTGTTATTTTAAGTCACGGAGTCTTGTAGTTTGTTACACAGCAATAGTAAACTAATATAATGCCCTATAAGAGTTTTAGATCTAGTTGTGCCTTTAGAGCTTACATCTCTGATTCCTGTCTCCTCATAATACCATCTTCTTTCACCTCCAACTCCTCTCCCTTCTGTCCCAAATCAACAGTCCTCAAGAATTTTAAAAACAGATATTTCATGTTTTACATCTTTATGTATTTTATAAAATATTTTATATTTTATATTTTTTACATTTTTATTTTATATTTTGCCAACAAAGGCAAGGCAAATCATTACTCAGACATTTCCACGTTAGTTTATTAAGTTAGATTAGCAGGAATAGTGAGATGAGGCTACATAATTAAGAGACCAAAGATGTATTTCTGAATTACAAGGTACACATGCTTCAGAGTAGTTATTAGAAATATAGAGACTAAAAATACTACTGATAAAAGTAGTCATACACACTATTGGATAAAGAATACCATCCACGACAAACTAAATCGATCATGAGAAAGGTAAGCTAAAAGGAAATTATAATTAAAAACACTGTTAGCAGCAGTTGAAGCTGATAGCAACTCAGAGCGACACTGATAACAAGGCTTCTTTGCTGGCAGGGTTTCTCTCTGTAGGTGCCCATGAGCTGTCAGAGATGTGTGGCTCAAGACTTCTCAGTCGAAAACATATAGAGGAACATCTAATTATCAATGTACATTAGCATTTGGTGGTCTTTCTGCTTAGAAATCTCCCCCAGATTCCCCTTTGTTTCCTTACTTTTTCTTATTTCTTCCTTCAGATGCGTACCATTCCTTCAGTGTCAGCTTCAGACTTAGTCATCTGAGAAGTTTTTCCTTCTACGCTCCCACTGGACTAGGTGACCCTCTAATGGGCTCCCATCTTGAAGGACATAAGAAGACCTCATTGAATGTCCTTGACTGGTTGACTGAAGTGATGAACTCCTCTTCAAGAGGTGTGTTGCAGTCTTTTTCTCATATCAAATAAACCACAACATTTTGTTTTGTTTTGTTTTGAAGCCACGTTTTAATTTGATTTTAAAATGTCAATTATGAAGTACCATTTAAGTTGGTTGGATTTAAGGGGTAGCATGCCTAACTACAAGCTCATATATTTCTAAAATAAAATCCAGGCAGTTCAAGAGGGTCAGAAATCAATCAGTCAATTACACAACAGATTTATGCCAACCAGTAAAACTGTTAGATCAAATTACACTGTCCGCATTCTAATGGACTAGAAACAATGCAATAGCCATTCCTACAGCTGGTATGTATTGTTTCCCTCTCCCTACTGCCACTAGCATCACCACCATCTAACACCATGGGGAAAGAGCAGGTGGAAGGCCAACCAGCCTGAAGCTCAGGTCTTCTATGCTGCTTCTGAGGAGAGAACACTGTCTCTTCCTGCTGTACTGCACGACTGCTGTTGACCGCCACGCTGTTACCCCAGGGGGAGCTCCAGCCTTAGGATGAAACTGAGACTATGCACTTGAAAAAAATCTGGGCTCTTGATGACCTATCTGGATGAATAAATCTTGAAGACTGTGCTAAATCTGGCCTTTCTAGTTATATGATCTAAATAAGTTTTTTTTTTTCATACTTAGAACAGTTTAAATTGAGTTTCCCCTTTCAACTAAAAGCTCCCCACTGACAAGCTGTAATAATTCTGTATTTTTCTGAAGTTTCAATGATGGAAAGACCAAATAAATCAAAAGAGGAATCATCATTCACAACAAACTATCTTATTATATTTGGTACATTCAAACAAAATA